GGGTTTTTTTGGGGGGGGTACACGGCTTTTCACCACCAGCAGATCTTCCTGGTGGCTTCCTTCCAGATCCCTGGAGATCCTCTCCTACACTCCCCACCCACCCCAGATCCCCAAAGAAAGCAGAAAAACAGGACATCCAACAGGAAAGGCTGCGTTTTGCAGGACGGGGGGGGGGAGCAGCCCTGTTGGATTGCGGCTCCCTACATTACGCGCAGCTGTTAAATGGGGAGGGGGCAACCCTTCCGAGAACAGCAGCAACAGGTGGACCTCTGAGCCATCACCCCCCCCCCACCCCAACCCTGGAAAGGAGGTCCAGATGCCAGGCACCCAGCCTGTCCATCACCTCCGATCATTTGGCAGGCGGCGGAGAGGTGGAAAGAGAGAGATTGACACCTGTCAGGGTGTTTTCTTTAATGAAAACCCTTTGCTAAGAGGAGGGGGCAACGGCCAGGTGGACGAAACCTCAGAGGAGACGTTCAAAAATGCTTATATCCCACCCTCCTCCCACCCTCTGGAACGGGTCTCCCACCTGGCTGGGGAATTCTGGGAGTTGAGGTCCGCCAGGTTAAAGTTGCCAAGGTTGGAGACCCCTTCTCTGGAACAATCGTGCCCCCCCCCAGGTGAGATCCGCACCCATCCCCACGGCCTTCGGAAAGGGCCTGAAGACTTAGCTCGGCCAACTGGCTTGGGACCCCGATGGAGCCGTATTATTCTGGGGTGGGGGTTAACGGAGTTGGAAGGGACCTTGTAGGTCATCTAGTCCAACCCCCGCCCAAGCAGGAGACCCTACTCCATTTCTGACTGATGGCAGTCCAATCTCTTCTTGAAAGCTCCAAAGCTCCAGTGTGATGATGCTCCAGTGGCAAGGTGTTCCATAGGTTGATTGTTCTCCCTGTCAGGAAATTTCCTCCTTATTTCTAGGTTGAATCTCTCCACCTCATCCCCTGTACGTCATTCACCTTTCCTGGCCGCCTTGGTCAATTTTTATTATTATTATTATTATTATTATTATTATTATTATTATTATTATTATTTTAATTTGTATACCGCCCTTCTCCCAGAAGGGACTCAGGGCGGTGAACAGCCAAAATTAAAAATACATACAATACAAAAGTTAAGATAATTAAAAAGAATTAAATCATTGGCTTCCCAATTTAAAACCCCCAAGTCTATAAAATAAAGTATAAAATTTTAAACCAATTTGAGTGTTTAGTAATAGTAATACTGCTACCATTTATTATTTTAAGGTTTTATAATGGGGATTGATTGAGTGATTGATTGATTGCCCCTACAGATATTTCTCTCTCTAGGCACGCTGAGAATATATCTGCTGAACAAAACTCCTCACTGGCGACAGGAAAGGCATCCGGCCATTAAAATGCTCTGCTCCATTCAGTTGCCCAGACTTCACCCTGCAAGGGATTATGGGGTTGTTAAATGATGATGATGATGATGATGATGATGATGATTGATTGCCTCTAGGCAAGAAGGGCGGCATAGAAGTTTAATCAGCGGGAGGCTCTGCACATGCAAAGAAGCGTTGCGCGCCCACGAGCGAACCGGTAGCGAACAAAATTTAAACCCACTGCTGCCCCAGACCCACAATGCAAGCATGTCCTGGAGGGGGTCATGTGATCCCCCCCTTTTTTTAAAATTTGATTTATATGCCGCCCTTCTCTGGAGATTCAGGGCGGCTTGCAATGCGTTAAGCAATAGCCTTCATCCTTTTGTATATTTTATACAAAGTCAGCTTATTGCCCCCACAATCTGGGTCCTCAATTTACCTACCTTAGAAAGGATGGAAGGCTGAGTCAACCTTGAGCCTTGGCGAGATTCGAACTTACAGTAATTGCAGGCAGCTGGTCTTAATAACAGGGTGCTTTAGACCACTGTACTACCAAGGTCGCAAGGCTTTTGCGACCTCCTGCCGAGCAATGTCCATTGGGAAACCCGATTCGCTTAACAACCGGGTTCCTAATTTAAGAACCGCAGTCATTCACTTAACAAAGGTGCCCCCACCCCCAAACAAACTCAGAAAACTCGCTAACTAACTAAATTAACTAACTGAAGTAACAAATTTCTCAGCAGGATAAATTTTTAGTTTCAATCGTGGTTTTGTGAGTGCAGGACAGCCTGTATGGTGATTTTTATACAGCTGGAGCTGGACAGGAAAATGCAAAAAAAACCCAACAACCCACATTTTGCAAGGCTGCTCATATAGGTCCCGTCCACCCTCTGAGTTTGTGTCCCTGGAGTAGCTTTTCACTTGAGTGCAGAAACAAAAAAGCTTTCTCAACAATCCTGTTTCCCCTCCCTGTCCTGCCCTCCCCTGTGCCACCAAGCCAGTCTTGGCTGCCTGTTCACATTCCCTTTTCATAACACGTCTGTGGGCACAAAAGAGCACCCACTTAAGAGTGCCCTCGGGTGTGTTTTTGTGTGTGTTTTTTTTTTTTTTGTGCTTTCCTGATCAAATCCAGCCGGTGTGCGGGCATCCAAAGGTAAGACCTGCGTTTTAGTAGGGAGCAGGGGGGGGGATGGAGGCAAGGGGGGTCCATGTGGGAGATGAGGGGTCAGCCATCGTTGGGCGCCAGACGGGAGAGGGCACCATGCCAAGCCGTGGAAGATCAGATCAGAGGAATTTCTGGACCTCCAGAAAGATTTGGGTCCTCGGGGAAAGCGAAGTCCAATTTACGGCGAATAGATTAACCGGTGGAGCAAATGTTTAAGCGCTGTCCCAAATGCCTTTCTTAGGAACAACACGTGGAATGTTAACTAACGGACAGAGGTCCAAATTCTTGCTCCTGTAATTCATTTTATATTTTATATTTATATTTTATTAAATTTCTATACCGCCCTTCTCCCGAAGGACTCAGGGCGGTGAACAGCCAGAAGATAAAACACAGAGATACAAAAATTTAAAATAGATTAAAAACGAATTAAATAATTTGGCTGAATTTAAAAATACCCCACAATTTAAACCGATTAAAATTTGTATTTAAAATTCATTGCTTAGCGATCCAATTTCCTTGTCTCTCCAATTTGCCTCTGCCAAGATTTTGTCAGGACAAACCTGGAAAATCTCGTGCGTTGCTCCTGGAATCAAAGGCAATGAGGGTGACCTGAATAATTTATAAAACTTGTGAAAACCATTTGCGGGTCCGATGGCCGGCAGGAAATGAACGTTTTTCGGAAGATGCTCCCATGATTAGAGAGGTCCATTCGGCGTTGCACTTCACTCCCTGTCCAGAAAATCCAAAAGTGGACAAGCTAGCTTTAAAAAAAAATTGTTAAAAAAAAACACACACACACACAAATATAATTAGAATTCCGCACTGCAGACAGGTTTCACGCAGCCGGAGTTGTTATTGCAGCGAGCTTTCCGAATTATGTGGGTCAGCGGCTGCGACTCAAAATTGTGCTTTCTTTTCGGTTGTGGCTTTAGGGCTGGCTGTTTCTCATCGCACTGAAACACAAACAAGCTGTGAGTTGGACGGGCTCTCCAGCCAAAGAATGTTTTTTTTTTCTCCCCAGTGAAAATACGCCGGTGGTCTTTGAATCCCCATAAACATCAAACCCCAAGTCGTTCCAAAAAAAAATTGGGTCTGTGGTTGCAATTGGCTCGATCACGGAGAGAAAACCCAGATCACAATTCGGTTTACGGAGGCCCCCAAGAACACGATTCCCCACAATTATGGACTCCTCAGCTTTCGACCATTCGTTTCGTGGCCATTTGAAGTCAGAACGGCGTTGAAAAAAGTGATTTATGACCATTTTTCATACTTAACAACTGTGGCAAGAAAGGTCGTAAGATAGGACAAAATTGACTTAACAGCTGTCTCGCTCAACACCAGTAATTTTGGGCTCAGTTGTGGTCATAAATCGAGGATTATCTGTATGTCTAACACAAGTTGCACAACTGTGCCTACTGTACATGGTCCCTTCTATCTGCAGGGGCAGCTATGCTAACCAAAGACTGCAGGGTAAACCATCATATAAGAGCCTTGGTGGCGCAGCAGACTAAAGCTCTGTTAAGTAACACCAGCTGCCTGCAATTACTGCAAGTTCAAATCTCACCAGGCTCAAGGTTGACTCAGTCTTCCATCCTTTCGAGGTAGGTAAATTGAGGATCCGGATTGTGGGGGCAATAAGCTGACTTTGTATAAAAAAGAACACCGCTTAGGAGGGGGGGCGAAATCCATACTAAGCAGGTATATACAAAAGTATGAAGGCTATTGCTTAATGCATTGTAAGCCGCCCTGAGTCTCTGGAGAAGGGCGGCATATAAATCAAACCAATAAATAAATAAATAATAAATAAATAAATACATCTGAATGGCTTGACTCCTGGCTTTTTGGTCTTCAAGGAACGGTGGTTTGCAATGGTTTAGAAATGTTTAAATCAGGACTTGTAGTTGTAAGAGAAACAACAGGCCATGGTTTGGGCATAATACTTTCTTAAAACTTCTTTATGAACTCTGAAACTCTTCAATTGAAGCAGGGAACTGCAAACTTGCTAGCCAAATTTTAGCCTAGCGGGCCGCACAAATCTAATTTGTAACCCTAATGATTTCAATGGATTGGCTAAAGGTAATCAATGATGAGTAATGCAAATATTATGCAGCTTATCAAACTTCATTGTTAATGGATAACCATTTGTCTGAAGTGATGTAGGGTTTCCTGCCTAAGCGGGGGGTTGGACTAGAAGACCTCCAAGGTCCCTTCCAACTCTGTTATTCTATTCTATTCTATTCTATTCTATTCTATTCTATTCTATTCTATTCCATTCCATTCCATTCCATTCCATTCCATTCCATTCCATTCGAGACAGGAAAATTTGCTTTATGTCAGTATGATGGGAAAAGTTGATTGGATGAAAACTTTAGCTAAGTAATCTAGAGTTAAATGAACGTGGGATTTTTTTTGACTCTGCGTTGAACTATTTGCATTTATTTGTTTACTTACTTTCCTCTCCCAAGTTATGATTCATCAATAGTTCTGAAAGCAGGCTCTTTGCTTTATTTATTTATTATTTTAAAATCTCATTTAATCATCAACGGATAAGTAAAAGAAGCTAAGAACAAAAGAAAGGGTGGTAAATAAAGCTTTACAGAATTCCGAAATAAAAAGGGCCGATCATTTGAAAATGGAAGGAATTACGAAGGGTAGTTAAACTAACAAGGTGGCTGATTAATTCTTTGGTAAAGAAAGTAAGGTTTAATCATTTTGAGACTGTCTTAACGCCAGCGACATTGTGAGAGCCATCTTCTCCAATCTACTGGTCTTCCAAATGCTTTGGATCACAACTCCCATCAGCCTAGCCCATTGGCAGAAAAAAATGGTAGGAATTATGGAACCCCTTCAAAATGAAAAAAAAAAACCCGAAAAGGAATCCGGTTTACCCATATCACAGGTTTCAAACTGGTGCAGTGGCCTTTACTGTCTTCCATCCTAATCCTGGGAATTATATTTCGATGAAAGAAGGGTTGGAAGACATCTGGAAAGATAAGCTGTAGCTCTGAAGACCTGGTGGGAGAAGCTTCTTGGAATGAAAGCCCTAGATATTTGGGGAGGAGGAGGAGAAGAAGAGGCCAAGGAGACCAACTGGACATGACCTTTTTCAGACCACTTCCAGACTCACCTACTCAAACTGACCAAAATTAGGTCATCCTAGAAGGATGTTTTAGGGATCTGAGATCTCTCCTGAACCTCCTTCTTTCCTTTCAGGTTGTCCTTGGCAGGTGACTTCCACCTCGTTGACTTTGGCCTTCAGTTGCTTCCCCGTCCGCCGGACCTCAACGCTCAGGATGCCATCGTGGGTCACGGTGGCTTTGACCGACAAAGGATCGACATCCAAGGGAAGGATGTAGGTCCGAGTGAATTCACGGGAGATGAATCCATGTCGGTCGACCTTCTGAGGATGCTGGGCCGTCACCTCCAGGAGGTTGTCCACGGTGCGGACAGCGATTTCATCGGGGGTGAACTGGCAGACGTCAAGGAAAACCTGGAATTTGTGTTCATTGAGGGTGACCTCTGAAATCCCTCGTTCCAGCTGTTTGTTGATCCGGGGCCTGATATAGTAACCGTGGTACAAAGTTGGTGCCAGAATATCTCCAGGGGAAAGGCCTAGAAGAAACAAGGGTGGTGGCTTAACATATTTGATGGTTTATAAGAGGTCCTTGGGGGGGGTCTCTGAACTTGGTTGTTTCCTTGGAGACGTTTCATGACCCAGCTAGGGAACATTATCAGTTAGTGCATGATGTTTGGGTTGTGAAAAATCTGCAAGAAAACAACCAAGCTCAGAGAGCATCAAGGACCCTGAGCTACAAAAATTCTCTTCGATGGATTATGGTTTGTTTTTTTTATTTTATGGCTGAAAAAGCAGGAGGGGGTCGCGGTAAGAGAAAACAATTTTGAGCAGAGGAAGGAACCTGTGAGAAAAAGCAGAGGGTTTTAATTCCCGCAGATTAGAAGCAGCGGTATGAAATTGTACGAAAGCGGTATGAAAGAAGAAGGGGTCAATTTATTTTCTAAAGCACCTGAAGGCAGGACAAGAAGCAATGGGTGGAAACTAAACAAGGAGAGGAGCAACCTGGAATTAAGGAGAAACTTCCTAACAGTGAGGACAATTAACCAGTGGAACAGCTTGCCACCAGAAATTGTGGGCGCTCCATCACAAGAGAGGAAGAAAGAAGAAAAATAGACAATCACTTATCTGAAGCTGGAGTAGAAGACCTCCAAGGTCCCTTCCAGCTCTATTCTGATTGATTGATTGATTGATTGATTGATTGAAACCGACCCCCAGCTCGTGACTTGCTCCCCCAAGCCCACCGTTGCTTCCAACAGCTAAGCAAGATATTTTTCAGAAGGCCGGTCCTTGGTTTTTAAAAACCCACAAAGCCTGAAGGCTGGAATGGATCCCATGGCATTCAAAACCGCTGAAAAGCCATGGTCCTCTTCCGATAGCGTCAAAAGGGCTGCTGGTGGAGAAGACGGATTCTTCCTTGGAGGAGAAATCACAGCTCCGTTGCTGAGCATGTCTCGAGTCCCTTCCTGGCTTGTCTTACTCCAGATGCAGCTTGGCAGAGCTGAGGAAGGACCCCACCGGGGGGTTGTGGGGGGCTGCTGGGGGTTCACAGGGGTTTGGGAGAACCTCTAGCTAAGATTCTGTGCAGTTCGGAGAACCCCCAAATCCCACTCCTGGGTGCCCCTGCCCACCTCTCCCCGGAGTCCCCATACGGCCTGTTTTGGATGCAGGTAAGTGCAGGGTTCTCGGGGGGGGGGGGGGGGAAAAAAATCCCCCACTGGAAGTTCGAGAAGGCTTTTGGGCCCGTTTCCGGCCTCCAGAGGGCCTCCGGAGCCTGGGGAGGCCGTTTTCACCCTCCCGGAGGCTCAAGAAAAGCCTCCGAAGCCCGGGGAGGGCAAAAACACGCCTCCTCCACACTGTGGTGCAGGAGGCCAATTAGGCCACGCCCACCATGGCCACACCCACCCAGCAACCGGGCAAAGAACCCCTTGCTAAAATCTTTGAAGCCCACCCCTGGTCCCTACCAGGTGCCAAGAAAGACCTCCACTGCCAATAAAGCCGCCTTCTAATGGCTTTGCTTTGGGGGGTCTCCAGGGAGAGGGCAGCCCCATCTCTCTCTCTCTCCCACCCTGCAGAGCCCCACTCTCTTCGGCCTCCCCGTCTCCCACTTCTCCCAGTTTCTCTTCCCCAAGTGGGCTCCATCCTGGTTATGTCGGGAGACCCTGCCTGGCACAATTAGCCGGGCCACAAAGATATTACCCCCCCCCCTCCTTGTGCAAGACAGTTGTTCCACCGGTTCATGCCAACAGCTCCACCCCCTGCAGGCTGCCCAACGGGGCTGGGAAGGGGGGGGTGGCGGAGTTGATGGCTGCCTCTGCATTCCTTCCAGGGGCGTTTCAGCCTCGCGTGCCAGCTGGGCTTTTCAGCGCTTAAGTGGGCTTCCCAAAGTCTCCGGCGGTTTTTTTTTTCTCCAAAAGCTCCCTCTTCGTGCCAGCCGCCTGCATTCCACCAGCTCTGTTTGTGTGCCAGGGAGGGGAAGGACGGGCAGGGAAGGAGGGAGGACCAGGCAGAAACATCTCCTTGTCTGCAGCCAGATGGAGATTATTATTAGCTTCTCACCAAGGAGAAATCCAAATCTTTTGCAACCTTATCTTCATCACCCTCGTGCTTTCAGAGGACTTATTTTCCTTTGTCCTTTATTCACTTTTTTTTTTTTTAATTTGATTTATATGCCGCCCTTCTCCGGAGACTCAGGGCGGCTTGCAATGCGCTAAGCAATAGCCTTCATCCTTTTGTATATTTATACAAAGTCAGCTTATTGCCCCCACAACTGGGTCCTCAATTTACCCACCTTAGAAAGGATGGAAGACTGAGTCAACCTTGAGCCTGGCGAGATTCGAACCTGCAGTAATTGCAGGCAGCTGGTCTTAATAACAGGGTGCTTTAGACCACTGTACTACCAAGGCTCATTGTTCCTTTGTTCCTCTTTCTATCTTTCTTTTTTTTTTTACTATATCGTGAGCTTCCCAGATTTGTTCAGAGTTGGGTGGCAGCTAAATCGAGTCATTAAAAGCAATCTCTCTATAATTAAAGAATTGAGTCTTCGGAGAAGGGCGGCATATAAATCAAATTTAAAAAAAAAAAAAAGAATGCTGCCACCAGCATCCAAATGAACCACCGAAAGGCAGGCTGGCAAGCAACTTTCCAGACCTCAGGAATTCAACCGAGAGCCACAAAGCGGGGACTTCTCTCGCCTTCCTCTAGAAGCGGAAGAAAAATGGCCAGCCGTCGGAAAGATTTTCATTCGGGTCTCTCTGCCTTGAGCTCGATGGCCTCAAGGGAACCCTTCCAACTTTCAAGATTCAAGGCAAAGCTAAGCTTCTCCTTGGAAAGAACTCTTTTTGTCTTTGCGAAGCTTTGGGGCAGGAGAGGCAGGGAGGATAGTAACAGTAACGGAGTTCTAAGGAACCTTGGAGATCATCTAGTCTAACCCTCTGCTCACCCAGGAGATCTGTACTAGGGATTCGAACCGCCGAACTGCGGACCTTTCTGATCGACCAGCTCCATCGATCAGAAAGTTCCCTGTAATATAATAAACTTCCCTATCCGATGAGTCTGAATAAAACGCAACCAGCAGCATGATAAAAAAAAAATACTACAAACCTCACAGCAAAGAAGGAACTTTTAAGTTGTGCCCGAATCATCTACGAAACTGAGTTGCTTCTGGACAACTGACACACCTTACAAGGCTGGGATCTCCAGAATGAAGTGTCATTCCCCCACCTCCCCCCAAAATGGTCCCTCTCCACTCCTCACCCAGCATTGACGGTGGGTAGGATGCTCAGCGGGGCTCCCTCCAAGAAAATTAACCCAAACTAATCCGGACGGTCCTCCTTCCCAAACACAGGATCTTCCAAGTCTCCGTAAGGGTGGTTACTGATCCAAATATGGTCTCCCTCTTTCCATCTACACAACCACACAACCAAAGTCTGGGAAAGATCAGGCTCCAGCCATGCAAGGCTCACGATGCACTTTTTAGCACACTGAAGTGGGGAAGGGGGAAAAAATGCCCCCCAGATTAACTATTCCAGGAAGGTCCTTCCATCCCAGAGCAGGAAACATCTGAAACCTGCAACCTGGAAAAGTGGGGTGGGGGGGGATGTCCCTGCCCGTCTTACCTTCTCCAAAATTCTGGTCGTAAATCTTGCTGGGGTTGGCGAACTCGCATTCGGGGCTCATGGGGTAGGCGTGGGGCAGGCTGTGCTGCTGAGCCATGGTGGGGAAACTGTCTTGATATGTTCGCTTGTCCAACGCCTTCCTTTGGGAAGCTTGCAGCCGGCCGGCTGGCTGGCTGGCTTGGACACTTGGATCAAGCAAATTCCACCGGGGTGGGGTGGGGGAAGAGGAAGCGATAAAAGATGGACCGAAATAGGCAAGCGGCTGCTTTGCTGAGCCCCCAGGGAGGGCCAGATGCTCATGGCTCTGAAACCCCCCCCCCAAGTCCCAGTCAGCTGGGACTCAGGAGGCAGAGAATAGATGGAGACGGGGCCAGTCAAAATGTTTACTACCGGTTCTTCGAACTACTCAAAATTTCCGCTACCGGTTCGTCAGAACCTGCTGAAACCCACCTCTGCTTGGGCGGAGGGTTGGACTAGATGACCTACAAGGTCCCTTCCAACTCTGTTAATCTAATCTAATCCAATGTTTAAACTGTGTGGGTTTTACCCTGTTTCCCCCAAAATAAGACACCCCCTGATAATAAGCCCAATCGGGCTTTTGAGCGCATGGCAATAAGGCCAAGCATTTATTTCAGGGTTAAAAAAAAATATAAGACAGGGTCTTATTTTCGGGGAAACACAGTAACAGGTACTGATGTTCAGAAACCAGAAACCTCCTGCACATCTTTTCGGGTAGCAAATGCCCCTTGTTTGCACACAGCGAAATCGGAGATTGGAGCCTGTCTGTCTACTTTGCCGCTGAAGCCGCTGCCTCTGCCCCATTTCCTCCGCCCTAGAGATCAGACGCTCAGCTGGCATCGGTGGCATCTGAGCCTGGCTGTCACAGAACAGCCCCAGAGACGGGACGCATGACACATGCAACCACACGCTATAACCATATTTCAATCTTGGGTACAGTGCACATCCAATACTTACAACTGGTAGATGGTTGTGTGGTGTGTACCTTTATGCAATTAGTTCATCGTTGATTAGGAATGAGTGTTTGGCATGAAGACAATTGATGAGGCTTCCTTCCCCATGAATTCTGCTGCAGTCAAAGGACAAGAAAGCTAAAACTACTTTTACCGGTAATGAGATCGGCAATAATAGCAGAATCTTGCAAGTCTGATGAGGCTGCCCCATCTCCTCCTCTTCCTCCTCCTTATAGGTCACTGAATCAGGGAGATCTCTGTCTGATCCACTTCCGGATGTTATCTTGTTGCTCTGGACTTTTAAAAAAACATTTCAGCCCCTTTTGGTCAAGATTCCCGCGTGTCTTAGTCATCTTCCTTACGGCCCCTAATCCCAAATTCCCACCAAGTCTCAACATCTCTTTTTGCCAGATTTGAGGGTGTCGCTGGACGCCATCCTCAGAGAACTAAAATTTGACTCCATTTGTTTTGCCTGCCTATTAAAAAATCAAAACAGATCCTGTTTCTCCCTCTTGACAGATTGCAAGTGACAAGCTAGTCCCCAAGAGTTTTGAGGTTTCGTGCAACCCTAAACCTGAGTGTTTCAATAGCTACAGCTCCCATAATCCTGTAGTACATCTTACATTTGCATCTGTAGATTAGGCTGCAAACCTTCACTGCTCCCAACTGCTGACAGCCAGCGATTGCATCTGGAAGCATTATTACCAGTGGTGAAATCCAAATTTTTTTTACTACTGGTTCTGTGAGCGTGGCTTGGTGGACATAGCAGGGGAAGAATACTGCAAAATCCCCATTCCCTCCCCACTCCTGGGGGAAGGATATTGCAAGATCTCCATTCCCACCCCACTCTGGGGCCAGCCAGAGGTGGCATTTGCCGGTTCTCCGAACTGCTCAAAATTTCTGCTACCGGTTCTCCAGAACCTGTCAGAACCTGCTGGATTTCACCCCTGATTATTTCGCATCTAGGAATAATCTTAGGGGTTTATTGCCATACAATTTTTCAACAATACACAACGCCTTTCTTTATTCCAAAGGGCTCCTGAAAAGAAAATTCGGAACTTAACCTGCATAAAGTTTTGGAAACTTGTTTTCTTTTTTTTTCTTCTTCAAATGTTCACACTCAAAACCTAACCAAACTGTTGTGCTACATATCCACTCCACCCTTTCACAGAGTCACAACATGTGTTTGTTGACCTCACGGTTGCATATAAATAGGCACGTTTATTGCTGAATGCAGGCTGACTCAGATGTTCCTTAACTGACACTTGTCCAGTGAAAACACACCAGGACAGGAAGGACTTGACTTGGGAACAGGTCGTATTTCCAAGTAACCATGGACAGGTCCTCTACTCAGAGCTTTCTTCATGATCCCAGGATCTGATTTCCAAGGAGAACTACTAATTACTCAGGAAGAGTGGAGGCCCTTGTTCTGGCTTCTCCCAGCATCTGATGACAAAGGAAGGTTTATTTAACCCACCCTCTTCTCACCGCCTGGAAATTGTGTCAAGGTAGAGAGAGAGAGAGAGAGAGAGAGAGAGAGAGAGAGAGAGAGAGAGATGATAGATAGATAGATAGATAGATAGATAATAGATAGATAATATAGATAGATAGATAATAGATAGATAATAGATAGATAGATAGATAGATGATAGATAGATAGATAGATAGATAATAGATAGATAGATAGATAGATAGATAGATAGATAGATAGCAGATAGATGATAGGTAGATAGATAGATAGATAGATAGATAGATAGATAGATAGATAGATAGATAGCAGATAGATGATAGATAGATAGATAATAGGTAGATAGATAGCAGATAGATAGATAGATAGATAGATAGATAGATAGATAGATAGATGATAGATAGATAGATAATAGGTAGATAGACAGATAGATAGATAGATAGATAGATAGATAATAGGTAGATAGATAGATAGCAGATAGATAGATAGATAGATAGATAGATAGATAGATAGATAGATAGATAGATAATAAAAAAAGATATTGAGACTCTAGAAAAAGTGCAGAGAAGAGCAACCAGGATGATTAGGGGACTGGAGGCTAAAACATACGATAACCGGTTGCAGGAACTGGGCATAGCTAGTCTAGTGAAGAGAAGAACCAGGGGAGGCAGGATAGCATCTTCCAATATTTGAGGGGCTGCCCCAGAGAGGAGGAAGGGGGTCAAGCTATTTTCCAAGGCACCCAAAGGCCAGACAAAGAACAATGGATGGAACCTGATCCAGGAGAGATTCAACCTGGAAACAAGGAGGAATTTTCTGACAGTGAGAACAATCAACCCATGGAACAGAAGTTGCCTTCGGAAGTTGTGGGAGCTTCATCACTGGAGGCTTTCAAGAAGAGACTGGACTGCCATCTGTCAGAAATGGTGTAGGGTCAATAGGACTGGATGCAATAGGACTGGGTGTTTTGTTAATATGATTTATTGGGTTAGGGATTTTCTGTCTTCACTGTGAGTTGTATTGTGTTGGGTGTGTGCGCACTGAGGGAGCTCAACCAATCTCATTGTACATGTGTTGTGCGCTGACAATAAAGATTTGAAATTGAAATCAATGCGATGCGGGGTTTAGACTCAGCAAAGGCAACTCCAGATCTGACAAGGAGAAACTCTCCGCTCCCGGGGCAAAGGCATGGCAGCGCTGACACCCTCACATAGTTTGGGGGTGAAGAAAGAGGAAACGAAAGAGAGAGACGTGGGGAAACTGGTCCAACCACATTCATGGCGTGCTCAGCTGGAGGTGCTGTCACGACTGGCAGGAGCAGCAGTGTATTCTCTCGCCCGCCTGAGCAAAGAGGTTTAAATTTAACCCAGTGGGAAAAAATGATTCACCTCTTCTATCTCGCCGTCCTATTAAAAGCATTTGGTCCAGGGGTGAGGTCAAGGAAGCAAACACCCCCCCCACATGGTCCCCAAGGCCGAAACTAAGGACCCAGGCTGCATCCGAAGCCTTCTGGTGAAGCTAGGGGTCTGCAAGAGGAAGGGGGGGCTTTGGAGGACAGGGGAGGGAGAGAGGGAGGAAGAAGAAAGAAGACAGCAAGAGGAGAAGGGAAAAAGAGAGAGAGAGGAAGGAAGGAAGGAAGGAAGGAAGGAAGGAAGGAAGGAAGGAAGGAAACAAAGGAAGGCAAGGAAGGAGAAGGAAGAAAGGGAAAATAAAGGAAGGAAGGAAGGAAAATGGAGAAGAAAAGAAGGAAGAAAGAAGGAAGGAAGGAAAGAAACAAAGGAAGGCAAGGAAGAAGAAGGAAGGAGGGGAAAATGAAGAAAGGAAGGAAGAAAAATGGAGAAAGAAAGAAGGAAGGAAGGAAGGAAAGGAAAGGAAGGCAAGGAAGGAGACGGAAGGAAGGGAAAAGGAAGGAAGGAAGGAAAATGGAGAAGGAAAGAAGGAAGGAAGGAAAGAAGGAAGGAAGGAAGGAAAGGAAGGCAAGGAAGGAGAAGGAAGGAAGGGAAAATGAAGGAAGGAAGGACAGAGGGAGGGAAAAAAGGAAGGAAGGAAGGAAGGAAGGAAGGAAGGAAGGAAGGAAGGAAGGAAGGAAAGAAAGAAGGATCCATTGAATCCAACTTCGAGCTACCATCAAAACTCTTTGCAACATCCCAAGACCAGTTGATCGTTTACCCTTTTGCCGTGTCCAGAAATTAGATATTCGGAGTGTGACCCTCCATGCCCTTCCTTGCCTTTCTCTTCTCTCTCCCCCCGCCTTACGCTCTCTAACCCAATGGCCATCATCCTCAAGTGTTACGGTGGTGACCTCATCTTCCAACCTTTGGCGGGCCTTCCATTCATCTGGCCAAGATGACTCAATTCCCCCAGGGAGGGTGGGAGGTCCTGTGTCCCTTCCCGTGGCCGGTTCAGCCCAAGAGGAGGACGAGGAGGACGAGGACGAGGAGGCTGTTGTGGGCCGGATGACCGAATGCCAGCCTGATGCCAGCTTCCTTGCACTCTTTCCGAGACAAAGATAGTCAAGGCAGGATTCGCGCCAGCAGCCGAAGGAGCAGGAATGCGGATCACGCTGTCTGAGCTTTTCTTTTCTTTTCCAGAGACAGGAGAGGAGGGGAAGAGAAGCTGTTTCTGCTGACCAGCTAGAATTTCACTGTGTTCTTTTCCGTCCGCCATGCGGGCGCTGAGATGCCTCTGCCAGCTCCCCCACCCCCCCAGCCAATGGCCGGCCGACGCAGGCAGAAAAGCAGGATCGGGGGGGGGGGCTCTCTGACATCATGGGTTGGGAGGATTTAGCCAGGGCAAAGCCTGGCACCAGGGAAGCATATAAAGCCAGGCCCCCTCGGCTCGCCGGTATGCACTGCCACCGGCTTGGGGGAGATGGATGTCACCATCCACCACCCCTTCTTCCGCAGACGGCTCTTCCCCGGCCCCTCGTCCGGCCGCATCTTCAGCCAACATTTTGGGGATCCCCTCATGGAATCCGAACTCTTCGCAGGCAGCTGGCCCCTGGGCTCCTTCCTGGGGAGGCCCTTCACCTTCAGGAACGCTGGATGGATAGACAGCGGACTCCCCGAGGTAACCTTGCGCCGATGCCAGAGATGCCCGTGGAGAGGGCACCTGCTGCCCGCTTATATATTTATTACATTAAGAATATTTATATAGCCTCTCCAACTCGCTCGTGTTGGTTCCAGGAGTTTACAAAACCCCCAAGACGAAACCCAATAACCCCCCCCCCCCACACACACACATACAGATCAACAACAATCAAACCAGCTGCTCGATGAGCTCCGTATCATCCCCAGCTCCCTGGGGGTTCGTGGCAAAACCGCCTCTGCAGGGTCTTTTGAAAAAGTGCCAAAAGAAAGAGCCAAATTTATCTCTGCAAGGATGATGTTCCCCAGGGAAGGAGCCGCCACAGAGAAGGGCCTTCTTCTTGGTCCCACCAGATGGACCCCCCTTAAGAGACGGGACCTCTCTGGGTCAGTGGACGTAACTGGGAAGAAACAGTCCTTCAGCTACCACGTTTCTCCAAAAATAAGACCCTGCCTTATATTTTTTGGAACCCTGAAATAAGTGCTTGGCCTTATTGCCATGCGCTCAAAAGCCTGATTGGGCTTATTATCAGGGGATGTCTTATTTTGGGGGGAACAGGGTATCTATCTATCTATCATCTATCTATCTATCTATTTATCTATCTATCTATCTATCTATCTATCTATCTATCTACTATCTAAGTATCTATCTATCTATCTATCTATCTATCTATCTATCTATCTATCTAAGTATCTATCTATCTATCAGTCTATCTATCTATTCTATCTATCTATCTATCTATCTATCTATCTATCTATCTATCTATCATAACTAGGTATCTATCTATCTATCAGTCTATCTATCTATCTATCATATCTAAGTATCTATCTATCTATCTATCTATCTATCTATCTATCTATCTATCTTTCAGTCTATCTATCTATCTATCTACCGTGTTTTCCCAAAAATAAGACTCTGTCTTATACTTTTTTGAACTCTGAAATAAGCGCTTGGCCTTATTGCCATGCGCTCAAAAGCCCAATTTGGCTTATTATCAGGGGATGTCTTATTTTGGGGAAAACAGGGAAGTCTGTTCCCAAGCCATGTAGGATGTTATCTTTGCTCTGTTATTCCTTTCTTTGTGAGGTTTGCATGCAGTAGAGCGAGGGTGGGTGGGTGGGACTCTATGGCAAAATCCTCTTAATTTGGGTGTCTCTGATGGCTTCTGTTGAGACAGGTTGACCCACAATTTCCATCATCTTAGCTGGCCTGGCCAGGAGGCGGTTAAGCCGGCATCTCTGCTGACAGTCCAGTTCTAATGTTGCACCAAGGATTCACTTATTTGTGAAACGGGCATCGTTTCCGTCCTTTTAAGATTTACTTAACGGTAACAGAGTTTGAAGGGATCTTGGAGGTCATCTAGTCTGTTCAGATGCCGACAGGTGCATCGCTCCTTTCCATGCGACCAGCTAAAAGGGATGGGTATTTCCCCCCCGCCGCCCCTCCCAAGGACAAGTCATACCTTGCTTGCTCCTTGCAATCTTAGATTGGGTGAATGTTTTGACTGGGTTAATTTTAGAGCTTCCTTGTGGTTTTATAGGTCTTTTAATCTTGGATTGGGACCTGCCCAGGGTGGGTTGAAAGATGGGTGGCTATATAAACGTTGTAAATAAAATGTTTTAAATAAATAAACAAGTAAACCAGATCTCATAAAGGGAAAAAAATTAAAGCGGGGGAGGATAAATTAGAAAAACAAGAACCTTTAAAGAAGTGGAAGGCTGGAATATGATGGGAGAAAGCATGGAAGTAAGGGTTACTGTTTTTTGGGTTTGGACTAAGGATGTAAGTAACCAAAGATGCTCGGTTCACACATAATGCAAAACCATAAAAAAAAAAAAAACTGAGCTAAAGATTAAGCAAACCAGATTTCTGATGTCATGAGAATGTATCTGCTCCTTTTGCCCTGATCTTTTAACTGATCTTGTTAAACATATTTGCGAAACCAACCCAATGAGGGAATAGAGCAGAGGTCTTCAAACTTGGCAGCTTTAAGACTTGTGGACTTTTAACTCCTATGCTGGCGGGAGAATTCTGGGAGCTGAAGTCCACAAGTCTTAAAGCTGCCAAGTTTGGGGACCCCTGGAATAGAGAGATTCACGGCAACTTCCACAAGATGCAAATTTTGCCAATTTTACAAGGGGTCCAAAGACCCACATCGTTTATTTTGGGCCTCCTGTCTTCCCATATGGCAGTAATGGCTAACCTTTTTGCCATCGTGTGCCGGGAGGGCGGGGGTGGGTGGGTGGGTCGCGTGCATCCCACACCCATAATTATATGCACCCCGCCCCACACATGCGCGCATGACCCCCTCTCCCCCGCTCCTGGCATGCGATGGCCCGGTAGTCCCGTTTTTCTCTCTCACCTAGCTGCAGATTCTCTCTATGCGTCTGGGGAGGGTGAAAACAGCCTTCCCCATCCCCTCGGAGGCCGACCCACCCACCCACCCACCAGGCCCTCCGGAGGCAGGAAACACCCTGTTTCCCTACTTCTGCTGGGCCCAGAAAGCGTGAAAATCAGCTGGCTGGTGCTGAGTTGGCGTGGCCACTGATATGGCTACATGTGCCACCTGTGGCACGTGTGCCATAGGTTTGCCATCAAGGCCATACGGTAAGTATTTTTTATCATAACTTGGGTTCAAAAGTTTGCAACGAGGTGTCCAACACACCAAAGAGTTCTGGGTCTGGAATTTCCCAACTTCTGATAAATACGAAATCTTCTTTCCCAACCCCAAACTGTTTGTCATCAGATGCGTTTGGAGAACGATAAGTTTTCCGTCAACCTGGACGTGAAGCATTTTTCTCCCGAGGAGCTGAAGGTCAAAGTATGGGGAGACGTAATTGAAGTCCAGGGGAAGCACGAGGAGCGCCAGGTTGGTCCTTTGGGGGATGAGCCCGTTCGGCACAGCAACAGGAGGGGAAAATTGATTACATTTATATGTCGCCCGCCTCCACTCCGAAGCGAAGAGGCCACACGGCCACCATAGCTGCACCTGGAAGGATATCACAAAGCGAGGCATATAGGGAGGCCAAATTAATTGGCTTATCCTTTCATTTAAAAGAATAATCAGGAGCAGTCAGAGATGAGGTTAATCACAAGATCAGTAATTGCCCAGGCTGTTTCGGGGTGGCTTGTTCAGTTCTCAGGGACAGGATTGTTTTTAACCCGGTACCCAGAAATATAAATTGGAAAGCTGAACACAGAGCTTTCCCACAGTAAGATGCTGCTTATTTCATCTATTTATTCATTAGATTTATATCCTGCCTTTATTACTGTATAAGTGATTCAAAGCAGCGAACATATTTAATACTCCTTCTTCCTCTGTGAGGTGGGTTGGGCTGAGAGAGGGAGAGAGACTGGCCCAAAAGTCACCCAGCTGGCTTTCGTGCCTAACGCGGGACTAGAACTCACCGCCTTCCGGGGATTGGCCCAAAGTCACCCAGCCGGTTTTCCTCTCCTTAAGGTGGGACTAGAACTCACTGTCTCCAGGTGTTTGGCCCAAAGTCAACCAGCTGGTTTTCATGCCCAAAGTGGAACTAGAACTCCCAGTCTCCTGGTTTCTAGACCGCCACTTTCACCACTGGACCAAACAGGCTCCAGGTGATTGGCCCAAAGTCATCCAACCGGTTTTCCTCTCAGGGTGGGATTAGAAGTCACTGTCTCCAGGTGATTGGCCCAAAGTCACCCAGCTGGCTTTCATGCCCAAAGCGGAACTAGAACTCCCAGTCTCCTGGTTTCTAGACCGCCACAGTCACCACTGGACCAAACATACAGGATGATTCCCAAACTGACCATGCAATGCCTTTTCTGCCTCCCCCCCTCACCAAAGGACGAACACGGCTTCATCGCCCGCGAGTTCAACAGGAAGTACAGAATCCCAGCCGATGTGGATCCCCTCACCATCACCTCCTCCCTCTCCTCGGATGGCGTCCTGACGGTGAATGGACCAAGGAAACTCAAGCAAGTTCCGGAGCGCAGCATCCCCGTCACACGGGAAGAAAAATCGGCCCTCCTCCCAGGACCGAGGAAATAGAGAGAGAGACCCTCGGAGACCCTGGCCCCTTTTTTATACCAAAGAAAGCCTTTCCATAGGACAGAAACGGCAAATCGATTTTTCTTCATTTATTTCTCTGTGCAAAGATAGGCACGCGAGCTTCTTTAGTAACAAATAAACGGGGTGGTAGCTTTTTCCTTGAATCTTCATGGCCAGCTACAACCTTAGCCAAGGCTCGGTCCTGAACGGGAGGGTTTAATCCGGATGTGGAACTGCGAAGAGAGTCACACACAAAACTAGGAAGGAACCAGAACGGAAACGCGAACTTATGGGGAGTCTCCTGGCGGGCGAAATTTCTTTTATTTTAGGAACTGCTGCCCATCAACCGAGCTTCTAATCTTGGTGGTGGTGGGGGGGACAAGGAGACCCTCCGGCAGAGATTTCCAGCCCCAGGGGATCCTGGAGCAGCGGCCTACTGCTTCGGCGGCGTCTCCGTTGCTTCCTTGGGCTTCACTTCGACCAAGGAGCAGGTTGGTCTGCCGTGCGGAGGCTCGTAATCGATCATGTAGCACGAGCGGGCGGTGGGCTTGATCGGAGGGGGCTCCAGCTCAGGCTGGTGTCCGGGAAACCAGTGAGGTTCTCGCGTCACCCCTAGGAGCATAGAGAGGATGGGAAAAGGCAGGAAAGCAAAGCATGGGTGTGTGTGTGTGTATTTGTGTGTGTGTAGCAACACTTAACCCATACACTGGGCTCCCTTTGCAACAGGCCAAGGCAGCCCTGGCCTGGCCTTCTCCTAACGAAAGGGGATCCCCCTACCTCAGAGGTCTTCAAACTTGGCAGCTTGAAGACTTGTGGACTTCTACTCCCAGAATTCTCCGAATGCCAAGTTTGAAGACCTCTGCCCTAATTAATCCCCCTAACGAAAGGGGAGGCCTAAAAGGCCACTGGTTGTCCTCAACGTACGACCACAATTGGGCCCGAAATTACTGCTGGTAAGGTGTTAAGTGAGTTTCGCTCCATTCTACGTTCTACGTTCTTGCCACCGTGGTTAAGCGAATCACTGCAGTTTGTTAAATTAGTCCCACGGTTGTTAAGTGGAAATCTGGCTTCCCGTTGAAAATTCGCTTTGTCGGAAGGGCATCTCGTGAATCGGCAACGGTCACAAATACGAATCAGTTGCCAAGGGTACACATTTGGATCACGTGACTATGGACGGCCGTAAGTGTGAAAAACCGTCCTGAGTCCCTTTTTTTCAGTGCCGTCGTTCACTTCAAACGGTCTCTAAACGAATGGTTGTAAGCCAAGGACTGCCTGGAGTTGGCTGCCTCCTTTTCTATCTTTCCCGGCTTTGGAAAATCACACCTGGATCCTTATGCCAGCCCAAGGATTTGGGTTCTCGAAGGGGGCTTAACTGGAATGGGGAATGAAGGAGGAAAAGCTAGTCAAAGACTGGGTTAAAGAGGAGTTGAAAAGCCGATGCTAAAAGGAGACCTCAGTTGCAGGACTGTCCATGGTACATAAGTATCGTCCAGAGGTGGGCAGATGTTATTAAAAAATGCTGGGAAGAGGGAGGAGCAACGGCTCCCTTGCACATCTGGGTGTGTATCACTGATTGTAGCGGGGTGCACTTGAGGTCTCCCTCACCCCCCCAAAGTCTTTGCTTGGGATATCGACTCTGATCTGAGACCCCTTGAAATCTCTCAGCTCACATGCTACCAATGCTTATATCTGTCTTATTTCAACTCTCCTGCTAGGAATCTTTTGGGGAAAATATATATATATATAAAATATATGAAATATAGACGCCCTGGCTCTCTTGGCTGCGTGTTTTCTTCCTGCGTGTTAAGTTTTGTACACCTACTTCTTAATCTGCGAGGCTTTTCCTTGGAATAGTCCGACGCGTAGGTGGCCTCGAAATAGTGAGCGTACTGCAAGGGAAGGTCGAGGGGTCAGTGTGCAGGCTTCATTCGGGAGGCCCTTTTCCTCCACTCCAACCTTCAAGGAGAGGGGACCCTCTCCCCAAAGCAGCTCTGCGGCTCGGAGGCCAACAGGGCTTTAGGCAGCACAGCGGAAAACGAGGAGTGTGACGTGATCACCTCCGGATTCCTGAACTCGGAAATCAGGCCTTGCTAGGTTCAATTAGGTTGCTGCCAAAAAAAATAGGCACGCAGGGTGGCAGACAAGGAAAATAACCCAGGAACTGAACAGAGAAAGTAAGACAAAACAATAATATTAAGAAGAGAATAGAGAATAGAGAATAGAGAATAGAGAATAGAGAATAGAGA